AATACTCTAATATGCCATTATATCTCAAATACATGAACACAAGCCATCAAAGGTTCTCTGCTTAAACTCTCCAATCATCTATACAATCAAGAAGCGTGGCCCCTGGCCCTCATCCTGGCTAGCTTCAAGGGACAAGTAGAGATTTCACAAGGAGCCTGCCACAACAGAGGTTAAGTTCATAGCTGTCATTTTTTAAAACTGCCTTTGTTTCTTATGCGCTCTGTATAAAGAGTGTTTCCACATTCTCTGATTCTGAATTCCTTCTGAACATTGACTCATCTCTATCATGGGGAGCAGGTTTCACTGCATTCTGACTGGGACTGCTCCCTGGATCTCAGAGAGAAAAACACTTACATTACAATAGCAGTCTGACTCAACAGATGGATCCTGATCAAAAGGAGGGAAAGTGTGGAACAGAACCTGAAATTTACGTGGAAACCAGACTTACTGGAGCCATTGAGATTGGGGGAACCCCCGAATCTAATGCCCAGAAATAATCTTTAAACCTTGAACCAAAACTATCCCATGAAGCCATCGTTAAACAAGTTTAGCCTAATTATACAGAATGTTGCTTTATGCATTGCACTCTTATAAAGAATTATCTGTATGAGTGTAAACTGACAACAGTTCATCCAAAGCACAGATGAGAACTTGAAGGGGCAGAGAGCCTAAATTAATGGTGATGAAACCATATGGGTAGAGATAGTGGGAATGGTGATACAGTGTGAAGTAGGTAACCAATGTCATTCAACTGCTCACGCAGACACTGGGAATGGATGTACGTTTGGTTGTGCAGATGGGCCACCAAAAATAAATGAAATATTTTTTTTTAAATAGCAGTCTGCCTCATAAAGGTGTACTTAGAGAAACACCCTGGTCTATGCCTTTCCTGTTTCTTCATTCTAAATACGGGAAATCTGTGGGTCGGAGAAGAAGGTGAGGCGCTGAGAGTAACCACTGGAAGGGGGGCAGGAGTCAAGCACCTTCCAACAATAATAAAGAAATATCTACACACCTCTTCCAAATTGTGGAGCGGTGTGAGGAGAGGGTGGGGGGAGAGGAGGGAAAGGGTGAGGACCAAGGACTCTTTGTGTTAAAGGCCTCGGAGGAGCCAATAACCCAGAGGCCACCGCCCGGTTTCCTGCATGACTCACTGTCCCCACTGACATTCGAAACAGGACACGCACGATTTTGGAATAAATACAGAGCCAACACATCATTTTACGTCAAACAGATTTTAAATAGAGAAGTAGCACAGGAGGAGGGGAAAGACACTAAAGTTAATTAAAAAAAAAATTGCTGTCCAGTTGACTCCAATGCATGGCGACCCCATGTGTGTCAGAGTAGAACTGTGCTCCACAGGGTTTTCAATGGCTGGTTTTTCAAAAGTAGATTGCCGGACCTTTCTTCTGAGGTGCCAGTGGGTAGACTCCAACTGCCAACCTTCTGGTTAGCCGCCTAGCACACTCACCGTTTGCACCACCCAGGGACTCCCCAAAGAGTAGACAAGGAGTAGGACTGGTTCTATAGCTTCCCACAGGGACACTAGGAATAACGACATTACTGTTGCTGTCACATGCAATACAAAGTGCTAGGTAGAAGGACAGCAGTGAAGACTGCAACTACAAGCAATTGAAATCCACAATAAAGAAGGTCTTGGCATTTAATCATATAGGCTGAAGACATTAAATCGACTATAAACCAAAACCAAAAACCAAACCCCTTGCCGTCAAGTCGATTCCGACTCATAGCGACCCTCCAGGACAGAGAAGAACTGCCCCATAAGGAGCAGCTGGTGGATTCGAACTACTGACCTTTCGGTTAGCAGCCAAACGCTTCACCACTGCGCCACCAGGGCCCCAAACCTACTATACACACATAAAAATGCTCTAAATTCAGAGCTCACTATCAGAAAAATATGGTCGTTGACCCCGCCACAGCACAGAAGACCGCATAGCGGCCAGGCCTCGTGGACTTACGTTGGGCAATGGCTCCTTGGATCCGATAACCCAGGATGATGGCGGCTCTCTGGACATCGATCTTGTTAATCAGGTCTGAAGACCTGACTGCACTGAGTCTTTCTCCATCTCGATCCTCCACAAAGTAAATGAGCTGTACGGGGTGGTCATCCCCCTCCAGCCTGGACACATTCACCACCTGGAAGATGACAGAACACCCCGGGCATCTCAGAGGCTCCTGTTTCCAGACGAATCCTGGGGCATTGGGTCCCCACCCCTTCAAGTCAGGACTCCACCCTGGTTCCCATCTCTGAAATGCCATAGCTCTTGGTATCCCTTTTCCCTAACTCTACAAGAAAAAAAAAAAAATCCAAAATAATATCATTCACATTGAGATGGAAGAAAATAACAGCCCCGACCTCTCCAAGCATCTGCATTTTAAAAATAGGCCACTTTTCAATTCAAATACATCTCTATTTTGTGTCCTTCCTGCCAGGTTCTCAAAGTGAAGAAGATCTGGGGCAAGATGAGATGGCTGGGGATGGTGGGGGCAGGGAGGATGGCCAGCTAGAACAGAAGGCAGACAATTTTCCTCTTTCTGGTCTCTTAAGGTCTCTTCCGGCTCAATTATTTACTTCTGTGATGTTATCGATAATACTTTGCATTCCATAAAACAGAATACACTTTTTGGTAATTAAAAAACACTATTCTTTAAAAAAATAAAGGTCATCTGAAAGTATGGCAACTCAGTAAGAACTCTTAGCTGTGCTCCTCCACAAGGTCTCCTGTATACCAGCCGCTCACTAAGGACACGGTAAACATTTGTCTAGACGCTGGTTGAACTGAAAGGCTGCCACACTGAGTTGCTAGCTAGTCGAGCAATCCCTCTAAACTGGAATTTCTCACGGCGTTCCCAAGAAATGCAGCCTGGGCTCAGGCCGCTCTCTCTGCCCTGCCCCTCCTCCCAGAACCTTTCTGGCACACCTGCACCACGTTGTTGCCCGAGGCCAGGGTGGCCCTTCTCCACATTCGCCGTCTGGAGAGAACCTCGCTGAGCAGCTGGGCCAGCTTGCGCTCCATCTCGGCTTGGAAGACTTCATTCTGCAGCTGCTTCTCGAAGACGCCCAGGAGGACTGCGTTTGGAATAAAGTACACACAGACCCCACAGTAAGCTAGCTAGCGGTGGAGGAGAGGGCATGTATGTGTGTGTGCGTGTGCGTATCTGCATGTGTCTGTGCCTTGCATGCCTGTGTGTACGTGTGTGCCTGTGCGTGCATGTGTGCGTGCGTGTATGTGCATGTGTGCCCATGTGCATGCGTGTGTGTGCATGTGTGCCCATGTGCATGTGTGTGTGCATGTGTGCCCATGTGCATGCGTGTGTGTGCATGTATGCACGTGTGTATGTATGTGTGTGCGTGTGTGCATGTGAGTGTGTGCATATGGGAATGTGTCTGCGTGTGCACATGTGCACGTGTGTCTGTAGAAGAGAAATTAATCCAGAACTACTCTGCAATGCCAGTCCCTGGAGAGGAGACATTCAAAGCGGGAAAAGGTGAACCTGAACGGAATGTGGGAGAGCTCAGGAAGGGCGTGTCCCAGATCTTATCTGCAGCTCCTACCTCTCACGCTCTGAGCGCTACAAAGACTGGGGGCCAGAAGACCCAGAGACTCAGCATGGCAGAAGCTTTGGAGCTAAAAGTTCCTAACCAAGATCAATCACTTTGTCTGCGTGTATCTCAAAACTCTGGAAGGAGTCTGGGTTCACATCGTGACTGAAGACTTGGACTAACAAACTAGCTAGATGTAAGAGTGTCTGTCTTTAGGCCTGCTCTAAACAAGATCATCTAAACAGACAGAGGGCCTGTCACCATGGTATGGAGGAAAAAAGCAGGTGGTTTCAAGCCAGAACAAGTTCAAATCCCCTTTGAGGGATGACTGCGGACAAGTTACTTATCTGCTAGGAAAATTATCTGGAAATGTGGCCAACACACCTGATGAGAACTTTACGTGGGATGCTGTGTGTTAGCAAGGAGAACACTAGAGGCTCCCGGTAACCTGTGACCATCATCATCCTGTGCGCTGCTTCCCCACACCAGTTACTGCTCCGTGCACCCGCTGGGCCCCTGGGAAGTGTGTGACCATCTCTTCCACTTTCTCTATCAGGCTAGAAAGGCTTTACGTGAAACGTTCTTGCTCTGAATATCTGACCCAGGCCTCCTGGACAAAAAAGCTTAGTTGCTCACTGTGCTACCTTACTGGTCCTTCTAAAACCAAACAAATAGAAATTTTAGGAAAAAAGAGATTCTTGCTTCTGAACTTCACACTGTTCTGGGTCAGAAGATGGTCAGCTGCTGCCAGAGTCTGCCCCCCACTTGGTGCCTCAATTTTAAAGGAAAGCCAATCCTTTTTATGTCATAACTCAGTGGGACAGAGTCCCACAGCCAACCTTCTATCCCTCCCTGTCATTCTTTGCCAAGAATTCAAGGTACATGTTGCCCTGAATTTAGATCTTGGAAACAGGAGCGGCATCAATCTCAACTCCCCACACGGGCTTCTTATGGCTCCCAAGACACGATGTGAAGTCAACATACCTGTTCTTACCCAAGAGGACTTCAACAGCTGTGATAAGTTGAGCTGTGGGTACTGGAAGGCTATAAAAAGGAAAGAGGTAGGGAAGGAGGAAAATCTATAAAAAACATGTTTGCAACAGTCAGAAAGGTACTTGTTGCGGGGAGTACTGGGTAAGTTGTAACGTTGTCTCTCTGACAATATTTACCCCTAAACAGGGAAGCACAAAATGCCAGCTGGACGTGAGGATACGGGCAGTAAGCACTTTCTGAGCCCATGAGGCTGAAGAAGAAGAGGGAGGAAAAGGAATAAAGGGCCTGCTCACGCTACCTCAAGAACACGCTGCTTCTCACAGAGATCACCCACCACTTCCCTTTAAATGCCTTTTTTTCAATATCCTTGTTCCTGAGCCATGAGTTTTCACCGTGTTCCAGAGAGCCCCAGGTTCCCCAGCAATGATGCAGGCAAAGTGACTGTTTGTCCTGCTCGCCTGGGACAGTCCTGGTCTACGCCTGTTGTGCCGGCACCCTTGTTGTTGTTGTTATTGTTGTCATTATTATTATTATTTTAGCCATACATGTACTGTGCGTAACTGAAAGTTGCTATTTGTGAGTCACAACTTTATTCCTGTCAACTTGTGCATGTTACAAGTTAGTCTTTATCATTTAATTAGCAGCACACTAAAATACCCTAAGAATCATTAGGCCATTTGGCTGCTCCATTTTGAAAAAGAAGTTGAGGCTTTTTTTTTTTTTTTGCCTGTCTTCAACTCTGGAATCTACTATTTCTCTTTTTCAGTAACAGCTTTACTGAGGTATAATCCACAGACCACGAATTCACCCATTGAAGGAGTACAATTCAATGGTTTTTAGCACATTTACGAAGTTGTGCAATCATCACCATAATCAATTTTAGAACACTTCTTCGCACACCCCCCCCAAAAAAACCCAACTAGCGGTCACTCTTCTTGTCCCCTCCCCCACCTCCCACCCCAGCCCCAGGGAACCATGAGTCTGCTTTCTGTCCCAGTGGATGTGCCTGTTTTGGAATTTCATATAAATGGAATAATGACTATATGGTCTTTTGTGACTGGCTGCCTTCTCTTAATATAACGTTTTCAATGTTCATCCATGTTGTAGCCTGGATCAGTACTTCATTCCTTTTTATGATCAAATAACTGGAACCTACTATTTTTTAAATGGAGCCCTAGTGGCACAGTGGTTAAGAGCTCGGCTGTTAACCAAAAGTTCGGCAGTTCAAATCCACCAGCCACTCTTTGGAAACCCTATGGGGCAGTTCTACTCTGTCCTATAGGGTCACTGTAAGTCGGAATCGACTCGACGGCCCTTAACAACAACAAGAACAATTTTTTCAATAAATGCCCCCCTCCCTGCTATTTGCACTGGGAATCTAATTGCTTTAACTAGGAAGTAAAGATTTGTTTGCTTTTATTGATTATTTTGCTTTATTTTCAAATTTACACACAGCAGAATTCACTCTTTTTGGCATGCAGTTTTATGGATTTTGACTAACGCAGAGTCGCGTAACCACCACACAGTAAGGAGACATCGTGCCCCCAAAATTCCCTTCTGCTACCCTCTGTGGTCAAACCTTTCTCCCACCCCTGACCCCTGGCAATCACAGGGCAGTTCTCCATCCCTAGAGTTTTGCCTTTTCCAGAACTGGTGTACTATTTTCTTCTTCTTTTTTAATTGTGTTTTAAGTGAAAGTCTACAATTCAAGTTAGTTTCTCATACAAAAATTTATACATACATTGTTAT